TTAATTTTAAAGTATATTTGTTTTATTTTTTTAATAATATTTTATTAAAATAATATAATTTAAAAATATTTTTCTATCTCAATACCCTTTATTTCAAAATATCTATTGTTTTTTATTTTGATTTATCTTAAATTAATTGTCATTTTTTATTTTTTTTTAAATAATTTTTTCCTTACTTTAACCTTGTCATTATTTCTTTAATTTAATTATTTATCCTATAAAAAAATCTATATTTGTCTTTTATTTGTTTGAACAGGGGAGGGAAGCCCCAATATTAGGGGTTTTGTCCCCGTTCAATGGTTAAATGTGTACAGTTTGAGCTATTTTGAATTGTGCAATATTTTTTTTTGTATTTTTTAAAGATAATATTTGTAAATATATAAATTATTCCCAAATCTTTAATTTGAGAAAAAAACCCAAAAAGCAACAGTTATTTTAAAATAGGGAGAGTAGTATTTTAGAGGTTACAGTGATAAAAACTAATTTCATAAACAAAAGCTGATATTTTTTAAAAAAATACACCATTTTTTCAACTTTAATAATTCTAATTTAACTTTTTAGACATAAATTCCCTTTCAAAATTAACATCTAAAGATATATTAAAGCAAAACCAAAAAATTTTTTTTGTGTTCATACTGTGTGTTTACGTTTGTTCACACTTATAAACTATATAGTTTTATTTTTTAAACCCCTAGATTGGAACCAATTCAAATATTCCCTTTCACATTACATCAAATTTAATAATAGAGGTGCAGTTATTACTATACTCTAAATAATTAATGCCATACCCTTTTAATATAAAATACCTATTATACTATTACATTATACTTTTTCTTAAAATTCTACATTTTTTTATTTCTTAATAAATTAAAAGTATAATAATAGTATATATTAAAGCAAAACCAAAAAAGAACTATTTTGTATTTACACTGTGTGTTCACACTTATAAATTAAATAATAATTTTATTTTTATTATTATTATTACAACTCTAAACGGGATTGGAACCAGTTTAAATATTCCTTTTCACATTACACCTAATATTTTTTATTATTCTTATTCAATCAATCAACTTAATTCAATTCAATTATATTACCCATTTTTCTAAATTCTTATTAAAAAAAATATTCATGAACTTATATTTATGTATACCTGTAACTAAATTTTTTGTTTGTTATAGTTAACAGAGGTTTTTTTATAATTTTAGAATTCAAAATATAGATAATTGAGACTGTAACTGAAGATATTTAACTAAATTGAATAGATTTATTCTTTAGTTATTTTATTTAATATTTTCAATTGAAAAAAAAATATTAGTAATAATTAGTATAATAATTTAGTACATATA